GTGTGTGTGTGTGTGTGTGTGTGTGTGTGTGTGTACATATGTATATATACATGGAGATTCATTGTGTTACTTTGAAATATGGGAAAAACTTTATGGGAAATATATGGTACAAGCATAAGGCAAGCAAGAGAAGGTGGTAAAAACTGATAAATAACTACACAGCAAGAGGCAGAGTGATTAAATTTCAAGTGTGTGCATTTAAACACTCAAGTGTTTGTGTAGGTACATGTGGACATGGATATACACACAAATGGAGGCCACAGGACATCTTCAACAGTCATTTTTTTAGATTCCATTTATTTTTGACAGGATCTGTAACTGTCAAGGGCTCACCTATTCATCTAGATCAGATGCTCAGAAAGCTCAAGGGATCCTTTGTTTCTATCTGCTCAGTGCTGAGAATACAGACATGCACATCAGGCCTTGCTTTTTTCCTGTAGGTGCCAGAGATAGAAACTTGTCCTCATGTTTTCAGGGAAAACACTACACTGAATGTACTGCCTCCCAAACCTCCAATTGCACAGTTCTTAGTGACTTTGAGTACGGTAGAGAGGTGGGTCTGAGTGTGACTCTTCCTGCACAGCAAGTTAGCACAAAATAAGAACTCAATTCTACGGCTCATAAGAGAACCAATGATCCAGAAACAAGAACCATCTTTAGAAGTGTCCCATTTTTATAGGCTAGATTTCTCAGAGGATCATAGTACTTGGGAAAATCTTGATTCACAGAGTCTGTAGACAAACTCACACATCACAGGGACTGAGATGGTCATATAAGAAACCAACATATAGGGAGTCATGTGAATTCATTTCTCATTTGGAGTGAAGGGCATAGCAGAAGGTGGTCTGGACCTCAGAAAGGAGAAGGGAGATGAGTTTTATGTGTCTTTTCTCAAGGTTGGAAAGTGCAAAGGCAAAGGGTAACAAATCTCTCAATTCTCAACTGCACTACGAAACTCAATGGTATCACTGATCTTACCAGAGACTGCGGCATCCTGTGCTGTTTACAGATTTTTCATTAGTAATGCCTAATGAGCACAAACTTGTGTCTTATGTGAATATTCATGATAGTGAACAGAAAAAATGATAGAAGAGAATGAGAGAGGGATGATGAATAGAGGAAGGAATATTGAAGTTTAAAGAGATGTGAGTGGGGTAGAGAGAGAAGACAAGCTCAAGAAAAGAATTAATGAAGGAGGAAGGCTAGAAGAAATTAGAGAATGAAGGAAAGAATTTGGGTGCCAAATTTAGAAACTGTGACTGTATACTGTAGGCCATATTTTAAATTTCTGTCTTCGAGGAACAGAGAGGAAATTTGTTCGCATGAGAAATCATATCAGGCCATATCGACTCTTGGGAGTTGAGCTTACCATTTTGGTGTGGGTGGTGGAATAAGACATCTCAGTGCTTTCAATTTCAGCACTTTTCTGCATCTTATGAAACCACTTTTTATATTCCATTCGCACCTGAAAGTTCAAAAGAATAATTAGAAGTATGGTTCGTACCCAGAACTTGGTTCAAGAAAATGGAATCTATCTAATATGGGATAGACTATATCTGAGCTTATGAATTTTGTTTAAATTCAGTTTCTTCCATTATAAAAAAAGTAATCTATGTTAAATACCAAAAGGACTTGATGATGTTGCTAGTGGTGATAGTGATGCTGATGATTATAATGAAAATGGTGGTGATTAGTGTAATTGTGTAATTGTGATACTACTGAATGTGATGGTAGTGATGGTGATAATGAAGATAAGGATAGTCGTGATGCTGATAATGATAACCATGATAATGCTGATGATAAGAAAGATAATGCTAATGATCAGAATAGTCCCATTAGGATTGATAAAGATTAATATGATGATTATGTGATACAGTCACAGTGACCAAAGTGGTAGTGATGATGATGATGATGATGATGATATTAGTGATACTGATGATGGTAGTATATATGATGGTGATCATCATAATAACTATGGTGGTGTTAATGATGACTGGTGACAATGGTGGTGAGAATGGCGTGATACATACGATGATTATGATAACTATGGTGGTGGTAATAAGTATGACAAAGGACGTATTAATGACAGTAGTGACAAGAGTCTCAATGTTGATGGTAGCGATAATGGCGGTGGTGATGGTGGTGAGAATGATAACAATAATGAAGAAGAAGGTTATGATAATATAGTGATGATAAGATGACTGTGATGATGAATGTGACAGTGATGATACTGAGAAGGACAGTGATAGGATGATGATGGTGGTGGTGGTGAAGATGAAAAGGCAGAGGAAGACGAGAGTGATGATGGTGGCCAAAATTTACCGAACGATAGATGTAAGTGAGTCGCTTAATAAGCAACATTAACTTTCACATGAACTCAATAGAAAAATATCCATTTTTAATCTCTAATTCGGGTGATACAATCTAAATCCTACGACAGTAATATTTAGCAGTATACGTGAAAGGGCACCATACAATTCCATAATCTGCCTTTAAAAAATCATTGTCGTATTAAAAATATAACTTGAGAACCTGCATAAGACCAAACTAGACTCCCTTAATATAGGTGACAATGGTGCGACTGGGACAATATATGAGGCCACTAGCAGTGGCTCCAAGATCTAACACTGATGCACAAACTGACTTACTGGAACCTATTCTATATGGAGAAATACCTTGTTCAGCCTAGTCACAGGGGTGTGTGTGTGGGGGGGTGGAGAGGTGCCTTGGTCCTGCCTCAATGAGATGATGGGACAGATTAATAGACTTCCTAGGAGAGACCTTACAGTCTCTGTGGAGCAGATGGGAGGTAGAGGGGGGAATGGGGGAGAGGAGGGAGGGGGAACTTGGATTGGAATGTAAAAATAAATTAATAAAAAATTAAAATAAAAAACATAGTGAGTCCTTTATAATTAGCAAGCCTGCCAAGAGCAGACTAGCCCTTCAGAAAAAAAATCTCTTGGAAGAGAATCAGGGCAAGGTAAGGATTTTCAAAGTTAAAAGGCTGTAATCATATCACACCAGTTGCAGGCCAAGGGGCTGTTTTACAACAGAAAAGAAAGAAGAGCCCCTTGATCTGTAAAACATCACACAACATTGTATCTCCAAGGAAAACTTTTATTTACCCATGATCCTCTCCCAGCAGGGAAGAAGGAACCATTTGATCTGTAAAATACTTTATAAGAATCTTTTGGGGGCTGGAGAGATGGCTCAGAGGTTAAGAGCACCGACTGCTCTTCCAGAGGTCCCGAGTTCAATTCCAGCAACCACATGGTGGCTCACAACCATCCGTTATGATATCTGGTGCCCTCTGCTGGTGTGCAGATATACATGGAAGCAGAATGTTGTATATATAATAAATAGATAAAATCTTTTTAAAAAAGACCTTTTTTCAGAAGGGAGAAACTTTTAAGAACAAGACTCCAGAGGGGAGGAGATCATGGTCAAAGTAACTTAACCTTTCCTAAGCCATTTCACTGTGAGGGAGGAGTACCAAACACAGAGGAGGCACAAAGTGATGGGAGAAGAACTAATGAACTACTATAATGATAGTCCATTTGTATTAGCACTTTAACTGTTGGTATTTATATCCAACAGCAAAGAAACGAACAACAAAAAGTTCACCAAGGATTGTTGTAAATAGAAATTAAAGTATAATTATAGTGACATTCACAATAAACAACTTGTGCTACTGGATTATATTGTACTGAATTACAGAATCCTAACCCTTCAAAGTAAGACTTTGTAACACTTCCAGATGATAAAGTAGACTCAGAGAGAACAGGAATCCTCCTGAGGTCACAAAACAAACTACTAAATGGAAGAACCGAGGGTGAGGTGGATTGTGCCAAATGTCCTAGTGTCATTCTATATAATACTAATCACAACCCATCACCTCCCTGGTGAATTCAAATTTGATCATGAAGTTTGCTTTGTGTAATCCAAAGAGTGCAGAAATGATGACACCTGTAACAACTATGTATAAGCTTTAAGATCTAAAGTGTGGTTTACATATAATCTCCTCATTTTATACAAGACAAATAATATCCCACACTATGTCCATAATGCTAGGCTAAATCACTGTCAAGTGAAGACTTTTACATTTCACCAAGACTAATTCAACCAAGGGACAATTATATACCATGTACAAGAAAGAAATCTTAAGTTTTTAAGCCACTGAGTTTGAAAACTTGGTAAGAAAGTGCTATTTTTTTTAAATGCAGAATAGTCGATCTCGTCTTGACATTCCTTTAAGACACATGCTTAAATGCCAACTAAATACAAGATACAACGTGTGAAATATCTAGGCAAAAATTAAAACTATTTTAAATAATGAGCAACTGGTCTAATAGAATTTTGCTGCTAGGTTGGTAAGAAATGAGACAGCCTTACCTGGCGATTAAGCAGACAGTGTACCACAAATATCAAAACCCCCTGCAGGACATTGATGATGGTAAATAGATAGGCAATGATCAATCTAACTGTCTTCCCGAATTCAAAGACCATAAATAAGCCAATGCCCCAAGAACATCCCAATACAAATAGCTGAACAATGGCTTTAAATGTCATGACCCTAGAAGAAAACAATGACAAGAAAGTTAAATACTGCTCATCAGGCTTTCACTACATGTTAAGTTGGCATTGGTGGAAACCATATTTTTATGTGTTATGTTAGTATTTTGGAAATATTTTTGCTTATTAAAAAATGTATCTCTCCTGTCTGCAAGATGCACTGGAGTAATGGTGGTGCAGAACTTGTGGGAGTGACCAACAAATGACTAGTCCAACTTGAGGGCCATACCACAAGAGTGAGCCCACACTTGACATTCCATGGATGGCCAGGAATCAGAGGCAGGATAGCCCAGAGACCCCTGATAGAAACAAATATGAGTGGCAAAAACAATAGTAAATGAAGTGATTCCTAATGGTATTCTGCTATTCTCATAAATTGCTGCCTAGCCCAATTGTCATCATTGGGGCATTATGCAGCAACTGATGAGAGCAGATACAGAGGCCCACAGCCAAACACTAAGTGGAGCCAGGAAAACCCTGCACAAATGGGGGAGGGAGAACTGTAGGAGCCAGAAGCATAGAAGATACCATGAGAACATGGCCCACAGAATCAACTGTGCGGAGCTCATAGGGGCTCTTAGAGATTCAAGCAACAAACACAGACCCTGTATGGGTCTGAGCTAGGTTCTCTGTATATGCCTTACGGTTGTATAGCTTGGTGTTCTTTCAGGAGTCCCCAAAGTGGGAGTGAATTGTCTCTAACCCTTTCACTTGCTCTTGGGACCCTTTCCCTCCTAATGGGCTGTCTTATCCAGCTTTGATATGAGGGTTTGTGCCTAGTCTTATTGTAGCTTGTTAAGCCATGTTCAGTGTAAGACACTGGAAGGCCTGCTCTTTTATTTTGGAAGAGAAATGGATCTGGGGAGAAGGGATGTGGGGAGGGACTGGAAGGAGTGGCAGGAGGGGAAACTTCAGTCAGGACGTAATGTATGAAAAAATAAAAGAAAAAAATCTATAGTAGCTCACACTTGAGGAATTTGGTGCTATTTAAGATGTTGAAACTGTTAGTGTCTATGGGGGCTTTTGATTTAGACTGCATTGATTTTTCATTATGAGATGGCTGTGAGCCTGAGGACAAGGAGTAGAATGTAATGGTTTAAAAGTGAAGTGTTTGGGTTTCAATTTAATTAGGGGTGCAGTGTGATACATCAATTGTCTAGTGAGTAGGGAATAAAATCACCTAAATGGCCTGCTTCTGTACACACCAGTGAAGGACTATTTCAATTAAGGTTGACCTCTAGGAATATCTTGATTACAGAAATTGAGGAAGGAATTCGTGCCCAGTGTGGGCAGTAGCATTTGACTGCACTGGGATGGTGCTCTGTCCAGAAAGGGATCTGTATATGTGAATGCATTCAGTACCATCTTCTTTCGATTTGAGGATGAAGTAGTGCCAGGTACTTCAAGATCTACTTGCCTTGACCTTCCTATGACCGTGAGGTAAAATAGATACTGTCTACCTTAATATGAATTGGCCAAAATTTAAACAATAAAAATGTCTTAGAATACAATTGAAGGAGTACACTAGTTTGTCTGAAATGTAGAATTTTCTTATTCTTCTATTCATTGTCCATGATTATGACCAGGGGGTGGGCATGTAGAATTTTTCTACATTTTTCTACATTGAAAAATGTTTTGGTGTTTTGTTTTTTGGTTTTTTTGAGACAGGGTTTCTCTGTGTAGCTTTGGAGCCTATCCTGGCACTCGCTCTGGAGACCAGGCTGGCCTCGAACTCACAGAGATCAGCCTGCCTCTGCCTCCCTAGTGCTGGGATTAAAGGCATGCGCCACCAACACACGGCTGTTCTGGTGTTTTGCAGGTTGGTCTGGGTATGGAAGCCAGGGCTTCATACATACTAACCAAGAATTCTATCTAGGAACCAGAGCCAGACCCATTACCATATATTCCATCAAGGTTTCTCTCCTAGAAAATGTTGCATTGGGAAGAATGGATTCTGTAATTCATACTTGGTATCCTGAAGAGTAGAAACTTCTTTATTGAGGGAAGAAAGCTTGCTTCTCAAAATCCACATAGTCTGAAAGTAGAACACCAGGTTTATCTGTGGGAATGGCATGAGAAAATGCATTAGAGTTTTCCTTTAGGATCTTTTCTTCCTATAATACAACTTTGGTTGGATCTGAGATTCATTCTCCAAACAATTCAGGCTCCATAAGGATTCCATGGACATTCTCTGACTTATTGTGCACAGCAAATAATATATGTCTAGTTGCCCTAATTTCTTGTTTAGTTTCCTGTATAATTTTTGTTCAAATTAGGACATTTTGAAAGTAGAAAAGCTACTATTACTGACCTAGGCAAAAAGTATTAATACGTTTCTCGAAAATAGAAAAACATCTTGTACAGAGCAGATGGATATTCCCTCAATATGTTCTGAATGCACAAAACAACTAATGAATCTAGAACTTTAAAAACAATCCATGGTGGGCTGCTATGTTATATATTTTAAATTGTAATAGAGTAACCTGAAATAATGTAAGAGATGATGGATGGGGAGAGGTACTGGGGAATGCTGTTTTCTCTGTATGACGCGCTTAGTGTACTCATGAACTCACAGCCATTGTGGTTATGCACACAAGACCCACACAAGATCAAGAGAGTAAAAATTCCAGCACGGGAGAAGAAGGAACTCTTGAGGTTCACCCCAACTAAGGAATTAGTGATCTTGATAGCTATAATAGGAAAAAGGGACTCAATATTCCTTTTTGTATGTAGCCATTGACATGCTAGGCTCCACACCCATGCACATACAGGCTATATTAGTTTGACTTAGTTGCATATGTTAGAAAAAAGAGGAGGATGTACAGTTGGAAGGAGAATTGGAGTGAAGAAATAGGGGGTAAATTGAACCATAGTTCCTTGCATACTTCAGTAAAATTCTCAACAACATACTTGAAAAATCAGCTAAAGGAAGATGAGCAAACGAGGGGCAGCTGAATGATGACAATATATTCAGGAACAAGTACCTTTCAGACTGAGCTCTGGTTCCACATCTTCACCTTAGTTCCACTTTAACAGAAAACAAGTGCATTCTATTTTTGGCCAACTGAGTGTAGACACATCCACCAATAATAGTCACCTACCAGGATAATGGCTGCCACTGGCCCCAAGAAGCTCCAGATGAATGCTCTATGAAGGCTGAGCCAGCAGCTGTGGATAGGAGATAAGAATTAGCTGTGTCTCTCACAATAGGAGTTGAACACAAGCCCCCAGTGTATGATCTAAGACTGTGCAGAACCATTATTTCCAAGCTGGATTTCAGCTTCTTATCTGACACAAGATAGGTGCACAGAGCATCAGCTTTCCCAAGCCTAAAGTAGGAAGTGATCAAATATTGGGAAAGATTAAATGACTGGAGAAGCAATGGGGAATTTAAAACTCAGTAGCTATGGATGAACAACTTTTCATATTATAACTAAAATAAATGTTAACTCAGCCAAAAACAGCAAAACAAGAAACTGAGAACCAACACTGTTGGGATTTGCCAAAGACAGTAATATGCAGTCAGGTTGGTTTGAAGACCAATATAAAAAACAGAAGGTTAGTTGTCCAATGAAAAATTTGATGTTGAAGTTACATTTATACATTTCCACCTTGCACATACACTATGCTTACTGGGTATGTGTTCCATAATTTTCATGGCCGGTTATCGCAGACACGGTGACAATAAAAGCAGGGATTCCGTAGCCTACAGGATACATGAACCTCTTCTTAAATCTTCCTGAGCTGCTGTAGTTGGCCACTTTGAGATTCCTCACAGTGAGAAAAAGGTGTAGTCCTTCCAGAAACATCCACATGAAGGAAGCCAAGTAGAGGTAGTGCAACATTCCGGCAATGAGGGAGCATAGTATCTAGGTGGGAGAAAAGAGAGTGGGGGTAGAGGCAGGGTAGAGAGTGGGGGTAGAGGCAGGGTAGAGAGTGGGGGTAGAGGCAGGGTGTACCTTATTCGATTCTTAGTACCAACTACTCACTGTTTGTTGGCCTGGGATCTCAACAGAATTCTGTAACAACTTTCTGAGAGAAAATGGACATTGAGGGAGCCCCTTCTTGTCATTGAAATTTACTTGCCACATTAATCAATAACCAGGTCATAAAATGTCAAAGAGTGGATACTCTCAGAGCACACTCAAATTGTTAATGCTCAAGGGTTTACAGATCCATACTCCATTGTCCTTGAACTCCAAAAGGACCTGTATGACATGTGCTCTCTGCTGCCCCCTGGAGGTTTTCAGGGGAATCTACCTGCAATTGTTTATGCTAGGCACTTTATTTTTATTTATTTTTATTATTTTATTTATTTCCCATTTTCTAATTAAATTAGAAACAAGATTGTTTTACATGTTAATCCCAGTTCCCTCTCTCTCCCCTCCTCCCCCCACCACTAACACCCTACCGATCCCATACCCTTTCTGCTCCCCAGGGAAGGTGAGGCCTTCCATGGGGGATCTTTAGAGTCTGTCATATCCTTTGGGATAGGGCCTAGGCCCTCCCCTGTGTGTCTAGGCTGAGAGTATCTCTCTATGTGGAATGGGCTCCGAAAGTCCATTCCTATGCTAGGGATAAGTACTGATCCACTACAAGAGGCCCCATAGATTTCTGAGGCCTCCTCACTGACACCCACATTCAGGGGGTCGGAATCAGTCCCATGCTGGTTTCCAAGCTATCAGTTTGGGGCCATGAGCTCCCTCTTGTTCAGGTCAACTGTTTCTGTGGGTTTTGCCAGCCTGGTCTTGACCCCTTTGCTCATCACTCCTCCCTCTCTGCAACTGGGTTCCAGTTCAGTTCAGTGTTTGGCTGTGGGTGTCTGCTTTTACTTCCATCAGCTGTTGGATGAAGGCTCTAGAATGACATATAAGTCAGTCATCAATCTCATTATCAGGGGAGGGCATTTAAAGTAGCCTCTCCACTGTTGCTTAGATTGTTCATTGGTGTCATCCTTGTGGATAGTTGCTAAGCACATTTTTGAAAACAGCCATTTGTGACTTCCTTTCCATCTTGCTTTTGTGTTCCTTCCTAGCTGAATGTGTCTCATATAAAAAACAAAAATAAAATATGTTCTTTAACTCTTTGTTGTGGTATCTGTGTTTAGAGAAAATGATGATGAGCACCCAGAGAACAATATTCACTGTTTATTAGTACTGTATAATATGATAAATGTTCTCTCAAGGTGAGATTTCATTACTTTCAGCATATGGACACCCAAACTTACACATCAAAATACGATGATAATACAAATAAATATTAGGATATTGAGTTTTTAAATATATGTCTTCTTGTGGTCACAAACACTTTGCAGCTGGTACTATAACATTATTTCCCTGGTCACTCTACGAAATCAGATCCTAATATCAAAAATTGGCAAATATCATTTACAAAAGGAAACATAGCCTCCTTTTAGGGGAGAATATTAACAAAATGTATAAAGGTAGTAAATTAAAATAACACATAAGAAACAAAACATTTCTTTAATAAGGATATTTCATATTTACCATGAAAGTGGAGACAGAGTTTTTACTTATTTTGTTTCATTTTTATCTAATATTTTGCTTTCTGTGTTTTCCTAATATTTGTGTATATTTGTTTTGGGGGTTGGTTGTTTTTGCAGAGTCTTAAACATGTGAGGTAACTTCTCTATCAGTTTGCATCGTACCCACCCTTCAGAAACAGCTAAGGGTAGATTTAAAGTATTCTGGACACACAAGATGATAGTCTTTAGATAGAATGCATATGTTAATTAGCTTGATCTATTCATTCAGTGATGCAAAGCACCGTACTGAAGACCAAATTTTTTTCTAATAGATAAATATTCCTAGCTTCCTCTAGCAGCTAAAAATCAAAACTCAAAGGGCCACTTTTGGGAAGACTTCCTTTGTTTTTTTTTAATTTAAATTCTTTAATTACTACTCATATTTATATAT